ACTCCTTGGTGGGTGAAAACTGTCCGTCAAAATGCTTCGGCTCATTTGCAGCCCAGTTTCCTTCAAAGATGCCTGCCAAACCATTTTATGCTAAAGTACCTCATCGAGAAACCTTGCGTTAACACGCCATTGGTAGAGTAGACGATGCTCAGACATAGTCAAGGAATAGCGTGAGCATGCTTGCTGGAGTGTCACCTTAGATTTACTAGCTGCGCATAGACTGCTCAAAACTTGAAAGTGCTTACTACCCGCCAACGTGATGGAGCGACAGTCACCACCCCGGAGAATATCTTAGTATTTTTAGATGACAGAAGCGTGCGAACAGGTATGCGAACTAGTCAGTAAAGTTCAGGACACCGTAACCCACCCGAGTTCCGGCGGTTGAGCGTGCTTTAGTACACAATCTCTCGTCGAAAAGACTTCCTGAGGCTCAAGGACAAATCCTACAACATGGATGCTGTTTTAACACACTTGACGCTGACCTTGTCGCTTGCACTGCTTCCTTCGCGTCATTGCTGGGCAAGCCAGCTTCATAGACGAGCTAAAAGGCTTCATTCGGTATCAAATCATCGCATTGCTTTCGCCCCACTGAATGACCATCACGCTGTGACGAGGAAAATAAAAGGCGCTGGGAAAGCTAAGGTCGAAACAATTGCTCTGTCCGCTGTCGAAGGCCGATTCACCTCTGCCCTATTCAGCGTGATCCAGCAAAACACATGCTTAGTACTCCCGAAAGATCGACAGTTCTACTGAATTAGCGATAATACCACTTTTAAAAGACTGGTCGTAAATTTGACAAGGACTCTTGTTTAGAAGACCAGTTGGCGAGTATATGTTTGCATTCGATAAATTCCCGTCAGGCCTATACGGGGATATAAAAACGGTAGAAGTAAAAATATGTCAGTGATAAGAGAAATCGACTGAAGTTCGTCTTAAAACACAGACGGGGTGTCGGAATGTGGGGGAAGGGTGGGGGTGATAGCAGTCAATGCCAGCGGCGGGGTGAGAGCGGAGGGCGCGGAAAGTTGCAGGACTGGTCAACCTTTGACCACGGTAGGCGCGGAGCCTGCACGTGATTCTTCTGCGCGTACAAGATTGGTTTTCGTAACCTGGAGGCCGCTTCTGCGGTTGTTTACTGGCGTTGGCCCAGCAGCTGAGGGTAGCTCGATGGCGCCTTAGAAAGCATACGAAAAGCCTCGCTGGGGTCCACACGATGTCCAGAATCAATAACATGCGCGAGGACGGCGCTGCTTATGCTCCTAGTTTGACCTTTACCCAGCCATGCCGGGAGATGTCCTTGTATTCTCTTGGATAGGTGCCGACTCCTGCGACCAATATAATCTGCTCCACAGGAGCAAGTGAAGGAATAGATGCGCATCTGGCCGTCCAGAGGCGCCGCGCAGCCGAAGTACACGTTGAACGTCGACTTCGTTGAGGTTGAGGATCGATGTGTCTGTCGCATACCAGAACACTCGCAAGAAGTCTGAATGGCCAACGACCGTTCATCCAACAGTCACATAAAATTGCCTGCCCCTCTGACTAGTTTTGTGAATACATTCGACAAGAGAATGATTATGTGAACCCGTTGGGGTCGCAAAGCATAGCTGCAGCCGACGAAATCAGGGGCAGCCAAGACCTCTGAGGAATGCGTGTTGATTTCGCATCAACAGTCGTCATTTACCGTCTGTTCATTACACAAAATACGCATGCAACCCATACGCCTATGATGACCTTTGTGCGCAATACTGTATCTCCTCTGACCAAATATAGACCCTTTTCGATGAGTACTTGCCCTTCTTCTGATCAACCATCTGGAACTCGCCTATTCACAACTATTGGTATAACACAGGGCAATATTTCTGTATGTAACTGTAGTGAGGACGCATTAGCCAAGGACACGTATAAGATGGAACTTTGGTAGTAGGGGTCGTACGAGTGAAGCACATACGGAAGAGCACAAAAGGACAAAAGTGATACCAGCAATAATGCAAAACAGTATAAACAAGGTTTCCTGTTTTAGCCGGCGTATAAACCACTAAAAAGCGAGCGGTGGAGAAAAAGTGTATACAGTTGGGGAATGGAGTCACCGGAGCGGCAGAGGCTGGCTGATGAAGTAAAAGGGAGCTTGGCCCAGGCCAACTGGTCAATGAGGTAGCATGAAGGACTTACAAGGTTATGGTACAAATTATGCACTGCAGCCAGCGCGAGGAAAGGTGGTCACCAGGAAAGGGTAATTGCTGATTCTGGGGAAAGTCATATTTTCACCCGAAAAAGACAAGCGATCAATCCTTGGGACCGAAAAGCTGATTTTTATTCCCGAAAATACATTAGAAGTCAGATAATTCAGGGAAAGGATGAGACCCGAGAAGTAAATTGGACAAAAAATAAATTGAGAAGAAATATGGACTCACGACAAAAACATTAATTTCAAGCTCCTTAAAATCCAAAATAAAAAATGAGATTTGGTAGCTGTATAGAACGGCAGGATTAATTTTTAGTTCCCCAAGAATGCATAAGAAGTAAAATAAAGTAGGACAAGGTAAGGATCGGGGACGAAAACTTTAGTTCGTAGTCCAGAATAATCTCAGTTTATTTGACTGTGCGTGGAATGTAGACCACTGAACGAGAATTAAAGCGCAGTAATTGAATACCGACTGGAGTATGCCCCCGAACAAGTCTGGGTAACGGAATACAACAGTGCAAGTAGTTGAAACCAGATTAGTAGCAAACTCAAAGCGAGTGAAACCCATAAAAATATGACTACGCACGTGTCAACAGTAGACAGGTGGTAAGACATCAGAAGGCGGGAGCATCTTCGCTTAGTTTGCGTGATATGCCATACGGAGAGCACGGCTGCTAGCTAGAAGCCCAACCACGTGTTTCACCGACATTCTGCCGCTTTACGACACAGCTGTGAAGGGTGAGGCTCATCACCCGTGCGCCTTCTGATGGATATTGTATTATTTAAATTACTGCCTTCTTAATCTCCTGAGAAAACGATCGTTAACTTGAAGTAAATCAGTCGGAATAGGGCCTTAAAGGTTCAATTGTGAAATATCTAAAAAATAGTATACTAAAGTTTGAGATGATGTTTGGGCGTCTGCCAGGACATCTCCTCCCAAAACTCAATTAGATATCTCCACTGCGACATGGGGTACTTGACTTTTTCCCTAAACTTACTTATGTCGTGAGAACCCAGTTTCGGACTTTGGTTAGAACTCATTGGATCCCTTTTGGTTTCCGTTCTTTTTCTACTGACTACCATGCATGCGCCATTCAAGTCTTGACGTGCACAAACTGTTGCTATTCGGATGCCGTTTCGTGTGGTTACTTTTTGCGTCTGCTTCTATGTCCTTATAGGCCCGTGCGTTGCCGGCGTTGTTGGCTTAACAATGCCTCGTTACTGCCTATTTGGTGACACCGTCAACACGGCCGCAAAAATGGAATCATCTGGAGCAGGCTAGTTTTATTTGAGTCAACAATTTCCTGCCTGTCGTATACTTACGTTTAAAATACAGCGCCTAACTGGGTGTATATTTTACCTGATTACTCATCCAAACCACAGGCGGGAAGCTTAAATCATTTTGGGATGCAAACTCATGGTAAATGGACAAATGCTTTTTTGACCAGTCCTTCTGTCTTATCTTTTAATACCGACAGAGAATTCTTGATTAAATGAAACCCAGAATTTTCACAATGCCTTTAATGTCCGCTAATCCTCCACTGTTTTGTATTCACTGAATTTTAATAGTTCCGCTTCTTCTGCTTATTTTTAGTCAGGACAAAGACGTAACAAAAGAACGTTGTTTGGGATGAGGTAGAAGTTTGTTAAACTGCTGTTGACTGCATCAGACAATGCAACTTTCTACTGTTAGCTGGTAGTGCAGAGCCCTGAGTAACAAAGTGACCTTTGGATGGCCATTTTAACCTCCTCCTGCAGGTTTTCATTGAAGCTTTTGCCTTTTTGCCCCCATCGTTAGCATCATATGCTGCCGAAATTGTTTACTAGACGAATAACGGCACACGTTAAAATGAGAGACGTGTGGGAAGATTTCGGCAGCCACAGGGACTACTGGGACGGTGGCGATACATGAGTTTAGACTGACACTAAAATTGGCACGAACAACTTTAAAATGGCGGTCTTGCATTCTTTTCTATTAAGGGAACTTACGAACAAAATTACTAATACTGGGTAACAACTTCTGCTTATAACCAGGATCATTCCTTTCTTTAGTATTCCTCCTCTCGGTATACTTCAACCTGGGCTATAAGGGTGTCCAGGTGTGGGTCCACGTGATGGTCGTGCTAGGTCGCCCACTTGCTTTCAGGTGTTGACTACGCCTAGCGTCCATTAACTGACACCCAACTCTCACACGTAGCTCCTCAAAGCTAGGTTCGGCCTAGCGACCACATTCCGGTAACAACCTCGGTCAGCGGGCTAAGCCAGGCTGAGGGTATCTGGCGTTGTGTGTGTCCCCATACCCGATAAATTTGCTTTCCTATTCCCTAATCCCTAATCCCTTCCCCACCCCTCTTCCCACATTCTCAGCTGTCTCCCCACCCGGTATGACTACTCCCAACCGTCCCCCATCTCCTCTCCTACCTTCCTTTCCCTCACCCCGGAAATAACGAAAAAGGAAACAACAAACTCTCTTTTCCCCTACCCCTCTCTTCCGCCCCACCCCACAGTCTGCTAGGGTAAGCCCGCCCACTCTGGCAGTTTGGAATGTTCCTTCACATTTGGACGATCTTCGGGACAACAGACCGGAACGGAGGACGACGCTAGTCGCCCGAATACTAGCCCGTTACTAGGTGGACATCGCTGCGCTCTGTCAGACCCGCTCTTCTGAACAAGGACAACTGGAGGAGTTGGGTGCCGGCTACACCTTCTGGAGCAGCCGCCACAAGGCAGAACGACGAGACGTGTCGTTGTCTTTGCCATCGGTAACGACGTCGTTGGATGATTTTCCTGTCTGCCGCAGGCCATCAAAGACCGCCTGATGAGCCTGCGCCTGCCTCTTCGGGGATCCAATTTCGCCACCATCATCAGCGCCTACGCCTCACCAATGATTAGCTCTCATGAGGCAAAGAGAAAGTTCTACGAAGACCCACACACACTACTGGCCTCTGTGCCGAACACGAACAAGCTGGTTATCCTTGTTGACTTCAATGTCTGCGTCGGGACAGACTGTACTGCCTGGAAGGGAGTGTTGGATCCTCACGGAATCGGCGGCTGCGAAGAAAGTGGTCTCCTCTTACGAAACTGTTTAGATCACTTCCTCCTGCTGACTAACACCTACTTCCGCCTGCCGATGCGGAGGAAGGCGACCCGGATGCATCCCCAATCTCGGTGCGGGCAGCTGACAGACTACATTCTCGTCAGGTGGCGCGATCGGCAGGACGTGCTGGTGACCAGGACGATTTGCGATGGCGATGGCTGGACGGGCTACCGCCTCATCACAAAGATGAGGTCCCGTCTGTAACCCGGCAGGAGGCCACGAAGTAAGCGACCACCAGGTTGAATTCCACTGCTCACTGTTTACGTTTCAGCAATCAATTAGCTCAGCACACGGACGACCTGCCACCTTCCGACGTCAGTGCCTCCGTTGAGATTCGGTGATGCCAACTGTTAGACGCCAACCGTGCGACCGTTCTGGGTGTTTTTGGTCGTGCACGTAGCCAGCACCAGGATTGTTTCGACAAAAACGACGCAGCAATCAGCGACCTGCTCACCGAAACAAACAGGCTGCAAAAAGCCTACCTAGACTGTCCAACCGAGGCAAACAAAAACGGCCTTCTACCAGTGTCGTCCCCTTGCGCAGCAACGGTTGGTAGAAACGCAGGACGCCTGGCTGGCTCGATCGGCCAAGTAGATTCAGGACTACGCCGACTGCAATGAAACAAACAGCGTCTTCGCTGAGATCAAGGCGACCTACGCCTTCTCGCCCCCCTCCTCCCCAACGAAAAGAACCGCCCCGCATCTCATCTCCGATGGGACAACGCTCTTGGCGGAGAAGTCGTAAATTCTGAGGCCCTGGTCCAAGCACTTCAGAAGCGTTCTTAACCGTCTCCCCAAAATCTCCGACACTGCCACTGACCGGCTTCCCCAAGTGGAAATCAACATCGGCCCGAATCTCACGCCCTCCCTTCCAGAAACCATCCGCGCCGTGCAACAACTCTCAAGCGGGAAAGCACCAGGCTCCGGTGCGATTCTGGCTGAAATCTACAAACACAACGGCCACCGCCTAATATACCACCTCAAAGCGCTCTTTCAGAAGATGTGACACAGTGAAAAGCTCTTAGGATTTCAAAGACACAACAGTAGTTCACTTCTGCAAGCGGAAAGAAAACCGACAATTCTGTGAAAATCACGGATGGATCGCGCTGCCCAACATCGCCAGGAAGATCTTCGCCCGCATCCTCCTCAACCGCCACAGCGATCATCTAGAACTTCGACACAGTGAATCACGAAGGATTGCGGAAAATCATGCAGAAGTTGGGCTGCCCTGAGCGATTCACGCACATGGTACGTCAGGTTCACGATGGGATAATGACGCACTTCACGCACAATGGCGCACCCTCCGAGGCATTCGCAATGAGCAATAGAGTGAAGCAGGGGTGCGCACTAGCGCCTATCCTCTCCATTCTTATGTTTTCTGCCATGCTGATGGATGCCTAGTGTGATGAGCATCCCGGGATCCGCATCGCCTACAGGACCGACGGGCACCTTCTCAACAGCCAGCGAATATAGGTCCCGATACGTCTCTCCGCAGTTACTATCCATGATCTGCTCTTCGCCAGCGACTGTGTACTCAACACTACAACTGAATCTCTTCGTCTCCTGTTTCGATTACTTTGGACTGACCATCAATAGGGAAAAAACTGTGGTCGGGCACCTGCATCCACCAAATGCTAAATACAGTGTCCTTCGTATCCACGTACACGGTACCGAACTGAAGACCGTGGACAACTTCAACCGATTACGCAGCACAGTGCCATGCTGCATTAGAATCGACGACAAAGTGGCCAACCGAATTTCAAAAGCTAGCCAAGCCTTCAGTTGGTTGAAGAACTCCGTGGGGATGCGCCACAGCTCCGACCGAACTCCAAACTGAGGATGTACATGAAGGTCGTCCTAACGAAGTTCCTGTATGGAGCAGACACCTGGACCGTCGACACAAGCCATGCCAGGAAGTTCAACTACTTCAATCTGAAATGCCTTCGCAGAATACTAAGGCCGCGATGGCAAGATAGGATCCCGGACACGGGAGTCCTCGAACGCCCAGGAATCATCAGCATCCACGCCATGTTGAGGCATCTGCAGCTACGCTGGAGGGAGCATCTTGCAAAAAGAAAAATACACCGAGATAGCACTACGAATGCCCGTCAGTAAGTATGACAAAAGCGGCACTACCGGGATATTCTAGAGAACTCCCTGAAACGACTGCAAGTTAACCCCGAGGCCTGAGAGGACCTCGCCCAGAACAGATCGGTCTGGAGAAGAGGAGTGGAGACTGTCGGAGCCATCTACGAAGCAAACCAGATCGCTGCCGTCAAAGCCAAAATGGAGACTCGCAAATCACAAATCCATTGGCTTCTCAATGGCAAAAGCCGGCCCCTTAAGCATGTTAACGCTGCCAAAGCATATTCCGCGCGCGAACCGGCCTCGTAAGCATCTCCGGAGGCACTGCACCAACAACACGACAACGGTAACTTCCCCCATAAACACCCCTACTATCCCCACTGCCACAAACCCCGCGATGACCATCACTCTTGCCATCGGTGGTCAGACTGCCGATGCCCAGCCAACATCGATCACCGAAATCATTCGCCCTGTCCCAAACACTGCGTCGATCACAGTGACCAGCTCCGCAAACACCACGACCTCTCGCACTCCCCGGGTCGGTAGTACGACATCCGATGTCTCGTCATCTGCTACCATCAATATCAACATCGCCACCTCCATCGATGTGGACTCTGTCTCAACCTGTCCTCATTGCGATCACACATTCACCTCACGCATAGGCCTGGTCGGTCATTAGCGAATCCATCGCGCAGAGACTGACGAACCGGGTACCGGAACACTCACATATACCAGAAGCATTCGCCTCAACTGACCGCATTGCTCTCGCACATTCAACCACCGTATGGGTCTACCAGGCCAAATGCGCATTCATGGAAACTTGCGGTAGACCACGTCAGCCATACCGCACCATCACACATCCCCCCAGCGCCTACGACGAAGATCATTGCCCATCACTACACAACGTAAGAACGCCCAGGTAAGTGCGAAATGGGTTCGTCGTCTCCTACTCTATGAGGCTACTCTGCTGCATGCGTGTACCGAGTCTCAGACTATCTTGATGCGCTAAGCCTACTGACGCCTCAACTCAGTCCATGCAGTCTGCCAAGCTGAGTATGTTTATGTTGAGTGGCGGACAGGTGATCTGAGAGTCAGGGTGCAACGGCTCCTTTTTGACGTGACCTCTGGCACTCTCACGCATGTTACATGTACGCAGCCCAACACCCGCTATGTGAAATCCAGATGCTTGTGTCTGGGGGCCAGGTCGTATATGTGGCAACCGCAGACAAGGTCACTAGACCATGTCGGCCTCTGCGCCCGTTCCCTGCTGCAGTCAGCTGACCTGCTCGGACAGGGGCTGAGGTGTGGAAATGGGAAGGGAGAGTAAGGTCGACAATACTACGCACTTTCCTCACTATAAACCATCTGGCGCGCTTGAAGATATCACGGTGCGCTAAAAGCCGTGGCTTGGAAGGTTGCCAACTGACGGGATAACTTGGACCTCGCAGTCGACCCAGTGTTACGTGCTTGTGTGGTGTGACCGACTGGTGGTCTGAGAGTCAGGCTGCAACGGCTCCTTCTCAATTTGGCCTTTAGGGCACTCTCACTGTTTGGGATCCAAGCCGGGTGTGGGCAGCACGCCTAGGTGCGGCTTCGGCCGTGCCAGCCTCCACTCTCTGTTGTTACTGGTCAAAGACCTGGTTATTGGTTGTGTGGACTAGGGGGTGTGGAGTGGAACGCCAAGGTGCGGGCTCAACCGTGCCATCCACCTGCACCCTCTCCCGCCTCCGGTCTTCTTGACTTTGTCTTTAAACCGGGTCCAGGTGGGAGAGGAGGAGGGAGTTTGGTAGATGCAGCACAAGGCCACTCTCACTATAAATCCTGCGCAAGTCACCGTCCCTGTGGAGCATACGGTGGCTATCGTCAGATGCGACGGTCGAACTGTCGTGTCGTGTCGTGCGTGTGGGTGTGTGTATGTGTGTACGGGTTTAAGGAGTGTGTGCGTCTGCTATGCCATAATTCAGCAAACCGTGGCCCTCGTAGCCTAGTGTGCGCTGGCAGTTCTCTGGTGCCTGGTTCCCCGTTGGTAGATGCGCCTGCGCTCCCTCTGGGTATGCAAGTCGTGTGCATGGTTGCCTAGTCATCCTATTCTTTCTGACCAGTTCGTTTTATTGTTGGTTCAAATCCTCGTTAAGGGTTTGTTGTGGACCAGGGGGTGTGGTGGTACGCCTACCTGTGGGTCCGGCCATGCCAGTCACATGCGCCCTCTCCCGCCTTCAGGCTTTTTGACAATGTCTTGTCATAGGGTTCATCTGGAGGAGGAGAGAGTGCGATCGGTGCTGTGCAAGTCTGCTACAGCTGTTATCGAATTCACACATAAGTCGCTGTGCCGGCTGTCAGCCTATTGCGAGAATACGGTGGACATAATCGAATGCGACGGTCAATCTGTCATACTTCGACTTATTGCTTAGTGCAAACCCACTTACATGGTAGCCCTTAAATTTTCTTTCCGATGCAGTCTATGGAACACGGAACTCACGACCAGAAAAATGTGTGACTGAGACTGATTGAATTCTGCCAACAAACTTTCTTCACTTTCGCTGGAGAGACCTATGTGCAGGTCAAGGGAACTCCAGTGGGCTGACCGGTCGCCGGCTTAGTGGCGGAATTGGTCCTACAGGAGTTATAAAAGATTGTCTTCATTCAACATGAGCCGGAATTTTTGCGCCGCTATGTAGACGACACGTTTACTATCGTAAAGAAGGAAATGCTAAAAGATTTCCACAACCTGCTGACCGCAGTCTTCCCAGATATGTATTTAATTCATGAGGGAAGAAGAACAGGAACAGCAGTTACCCTTCCGTGATGTGCTCGCCAGACGAAATCTCAACGGTAAACTTGAAACAACGGTTTATAGGAAGTCACTGAACATCACATGGCCTCTCAGTTGCCATAGCAACCAACCAGCGGCTCAAAAAACAAAGCTGTATGAGCACGCTCTTCGAACGGATACAAACTTATTGCAGCAAACCGGAGGAAAGAGCACGTGAGGCCCGTTATCTGCGCGACCAGTTTGTGCGAAATGACTATTTGAAGGCATTCATGAATCGCTGCCCAAAGCGGTCACCCCCGAGGGCCAAAACATCAACACCATCAACGATACGGCATTCTCTGTCATAA